TCAAGAGAAAGAAATCGAAATGTTGAAAACAAAAATAGCGCAAGATTTAGCTGTGATGCCACAAGATACATTTGGTCCAGCGCCAACCTGTGCGACGTCCAAGCTTCGTTTAAATAGTGAAGTGAGAGTAGCAGGAACAAAAATACGTTCGAATGAAAGTCCGGGGTGTACCGTGTCAAATTTGGATCCGAATGCGACAGCGTACACGCCTAAAAGTTCCCTTATAGCATCGACTGAAGCTTAAGGAATTACAATTCTCTCATCAGAAACCTGATAGTAGGATACATCAACTACAAAGAATGTTTCAAGTTTCTTCGTGGAATATCACTATTTGATTCACAAGTATGCAAAATACGGATTTATCAACTGCTGAATCTTTTCTGCATCATCTTCTTTAAGACAACACATATTTTTATTATATACGGATCCTCCCGATGTAAACAAAACCTGGAAGTCTTCCATGAGAAACTTCGCGAAACATGTTTTGTATCGTGTCTTGTCGTTTTGAAAAAGAAATGGAACCGTTGACATTACTTATGATCACGCGACGCGGCACTGGTTTCTAGAATGTCAAGGAAATCCAGTAACAATCTTAATTTGTAACGTTTATGCTGTAGGTCGATCTTACGGATATATAACGATTCGTGAATTCAGTGAATCGTAACTATCTCTTTTCACATGCATAAATATCGATAATAATGTCTAACAATTTAAAAAAATCAGTGTATCTGATCGTTAGTTTATTTGTAAGTAAAATATATTTTATATTCTACAAGAATACTTTCTCTCGGAAAGAATTTGTCTTATACATTTGTCATGCTGAACTTTATATATAATGTAGATTTTTTATATATTTTTTTAACTATTTCAGAACATGATTTGACATTTCAAATCGATCTTTATGTAAGGTAGGAGAAAAGTGCTAAGAGATTTTTTATTAGCAAAGTTGCAATAAAGGATATGTTGGAAAAGTTAATATCCGTATTACGATCTTCCTGCAGTATGCCTAAACATACGATGACTTGTCAAAGATGCATTCTTATTCAAGTCGTATAACTGAAGCTAGTCCATCATACAAACTATTTAAATATCATTGGCGTGTCAAGCCATTTTATGTTATGCGATCATCATACAGAAATAGCCATTGACAACATAGAAAGAAATATGAGCATTATCCAAGAAGGATCAAAGTAAATGTCACGACGCCAAATTTGTTTTAAGTAATCCTAATGTCCGTACGATGATACTCTCACATGCACACAGAGTGCGTATTTGTTTTTAAATTTTCATACTTTTAGTTTAATATTTTTGTTTTATGTATTGGCTTTCAAAACGATATAAAGTAGCCATTACATTTTTCGTGTGTGGAAAAAATAATATAAATTTCAATGTGATAAGAACGATTGATTCGTAAAACGTTACTAACAAAAAGATGTGATGGCTAACTTGATTTAATTTAAAAAAAAGCTTGGCATTCATATTATGATCATGCTGGTATGTGAGACTATGTAATGCCATATAATATATTTGGTTAAAACAAAAAAAGAGTTTAAACACAAAATGATAATTTTATTAAAAGTACAAAGATAGAAAAAAGTTATTTTCATATTGAAATCACTTTATTTAAGAAGAATATTTATTTCATTATTTAGCATTGAAAAAGTTGATAAAACTACATTGTGACTAGATATAAATGTGGATAAAGTTCTTTTTTCTTATGTGACGTCCATTAATATAATTCCAGAGTTAAAAAAAAGAAATTTTGTATTCTTTTTTTTAAATTATTATTCTTAACATATATATCTGTATACAATATGTATATATATATATGCTATATGTTATATGTATGTTATATGAATATAATTATATAGACATATATATATGCACATATAAGTACATACATATACATATGCATATATGTATAGAAATTACATGACTTGGACAAAAGCTTTATGATACCATTATGAAGGTGTGGTACATAATGTTTATATGAGAGATCTGTTTATTCTTATAAAAATATAATTGTATATGGCGTATATCTCGATTATTTTAAATATTCGCGAAAATAAAGCGATCATATCAGTCTATCGATTCACATATTACGCTATTTAAGTGGGTGCTATATGTTACAATTCTGATTTCTTTAAGTTTATGTACCTTCATCTTGAAAAATTGATAAAAATTGTTACTTTTAATTTTAATTGGCTCATGGAGTATTTGGAAGACTTGTTTAAGAGCATACAATGGCATTACGAATGATTAATCAATAATGATCAAAAATTATGTGTGTATGTGTGTGAGTGTGAGTGTGTGTGCGTGCGTGTGTGTGTGAAATTGATTGAATAATTAATCGACATTAATAAAGTTGGCGTTTTTATTCTATTCGCAAGAAAGCCAGTACTTGCTTCATTACGTTGCAAATATTGTGTAAACTTGTTAATTATTACGAGGTCATTCTTCCATAATTGTACATACAAAGCACTGTCATGACAATTTACTTATGGACACTAGTAGTGGATCATGACCAACTAGTCAAGCGAAGGAGGAAGTTCTACAAGCACGAATATTTAATAGGTATCCAACATTCAAACTTTTCGCCTTTTATGGAAAAGAATACAGAACCCTCTCACTTTACTAAGATTTAGCATTTGGACTCATTGGATAATGTGAATTGTGATGAGTCCACAATTTCCCGGATGATCCACATAAAGGACAACGTTGTAAAGGCTTTCCTGCACAATGTGTATATTATTAAATTTTGAATTTATCTTCAAAAGAGCAGTGCGAGTTTGTTACTTATAAGAAAGTTACGTAGAAGTTTTCTAATTTGCATATGTTAGTAATGTGTACTTTTAAGTGCATGAAATAACTCGGATGGTTGCTAGTTTATTGGGGAAAGAAATGATAAAATATGTGCATTTCTATTTCCGAATTGTTGTCCCAGTGTCGAAGATATTACTTATACTTAACTTTGATCTTGCGAATAAAATCGTTGATAAGTTTCGATTTAGATTTGCGTTTGCTTACACTTTGCACATAAATAACGTAGCGAAGACGATATAGACATGTAAATAAATATTTACCGGAAAGGAATTTTGATACCGCTTCGTAAACGCATTGATGTAATTGTTGGGGCACTTGCGTGACATAGTTATTTTGCTATTTAAAAAAAGTCAATTTTCATTACGGTGATTAAGATAAATCTGCCGATTTAATTTGGACAACGAGATTTAACTGACAGGCTTGTTAGCAAAGGAAAAAAGAAAAATAAAGTTAAAAAGGTTATTGATTCGTAAAAAGAAATATCGATTAGTATTGTGAATACGTGTACCTGACCAAGGGGTTTCTTGAAAAATATCGCAATCGAAAATACTATAGTACATGTTACATTTATTATAGATTTTTGTATGCGATATAGATTCAAAAACATGAACCCAGGACGTGTGCTATAATAGTTCTTTTTTCTTTTCTTTTTTTCCATTTTTTTGGCTAATTTACTTATCTTGGATTTAATTCCACCAGAGAGAAGGCTGGCTTGATAAGCAATTAATATTATGCGAGATAATGTATACATTGAGTTATTGTGATATACATATACATACACAAAAAAAAACAAACGCGCGCAATACACATTCACACTGATACACATTTACATAATCATCATATGTAAATATACATTCGCTTTACATATTTATTTGTGTATACTCGTACATCGCGTGCACATCGAAAGACATGCGGTTGCCTGCGCGTATACACATACATATATGTGTATAACTATTTTAGTTACTACATAACGTTCTCTTATCATAATAAATTAATAATGAGATAATTAATCGATCGCTAATAGGTAAGTTTCCTATTTCCAAATGCATTGTTTCATTTCGCGCGACAAGAGGAAGACGTGCGTAACAAAGTACTTAATTTTTATGTTCGATTTTGTTCGGCATTCTTCTTGGACGTGTGTGTGAGAGCGAGAGCGAAAGAGAAAAAGATTAGAGACATGCACAAAAGAAGATTCAGGTACTTTTTGTAATACCTGCTTCCTGAATAATTTGTAAGTTCTCTGATATTACATAACTAATTTATTAAGTTGGCGAATTGACAATAAAAAGCTTTTTTGTTTTATAACGTTTCCGGCGTCTCGAATCTGACCTCAAATATAATGGGAAAAGTATCTTACGGATGCCTTTTTTTTCTTTTTTTTTTTTTTTTTACATATTAGTTATTAACGTCTTGTGCGCTTCCACAAACACATGCGTACTTATTGTCATTGCGTAGCAATTAAGTTTATATCGTCGCGAGCGACGAGTATAGCATATTAAATGCAGTAACAGCAACACCGCTATTGATCTCATATATTGCGCGATCGTACACGCAAATGCCCTTATTAACGATTTATTATAAAACCGACATGCTGGATATCTCGTAGAGTGAAATTTATAAAACATACTTTAATCATCTTCTGGAGATAAAACAAATCAAGCAAGTGACATTACGCCTAACTGGAGAGAATCACGTAATAAGGCAGTGAGTTTAAAAAGAAAAATCATAAGAATCTGACTAAGAGAACTTTTACGATTAATCGTAAAACTCACCAAGTATGAACCAGATATGTACGACACTATCGTACATGCGTTTCTACCGTTAATTCGTAACCAAGCTTTGAGAAATCCTGTTTCGAACGATGGCACTTCTGGCCAATACCACAATAATCTTATATTTATAATGATCCTTCTCTTCTGCATATTTTCTGTCTATCGGTCATACATAATATATTTAATTTTTGTTTTCATATTAAAATACATGCTTTATAAATTTTCCTTTCATCCTTTCGAAATCATATTCTAATTTCCTATTAAATATAATTGTAACAAAACATTGAGATTCCTCTTCTTGCCTATCCTAATATTATGAATTTTATAGAAGAGAGAGATACGATTTATAACAACTTAGCTATACAGAAATCCATACTGTTCTTTTTTTCTCATTTCTATTGTTTCAAAAAAAAGGAAAATTCTAAAGCCGTATAAAATAAATAAAATTATTTGCTGGGAAAGAAACACGCGCACACCTAAGAATTATTTTCGAATATACAAATATTCATTTAAATGATATATAATTATGCAAGATTTCTAAAACATAAGGAAGCAGAGAGATTATCGATGATATTAATAATGGATAATTTTATTGTATATTGTGCTACAAATAATCTCCACAGCAATATTTATTAAAATAAACATTGTAAAAACTGATATATTGCGTATAGTTTATCACACATCAATGACTACAGTGATATTAAAACTCTTTCTGATGCACTGTGATATGATTAATGATATTGTATTTTTATTTGCTGTACGATTTTATTTGATGCACGTTTATAAATATATTAACAACTTTCTTTTCCTCGATGATTAAAAACAAGGAGAGGAATTTCCATGATTTATGTGAGAATCGTTTATATTGATGCTGACACTGGCGACACAATCCGACATTTTTTATTTTTTTTAATAAACGTTATTTCGTTTAATGAAAATGAACGAGTTCTTGTAGGTTCGCTTGTAGAAACAACAGTTAAACTTGTAGAAATCGGTCTTGTGAGTAACATCGATTCGATCGATGGTCCCTTTTTTATAAACGGAATAAAATGCATTCAATGTAAGCAACTACAGAGCAATATAAAAAGCAAGCATTAGCTGACAATATCATACAGAACGCAGCAATATAAAATTTAATTTTCACACATTTTATGTTACGATCAAAGCATAATTATACTTACAGGTTCCTATTAGTATTGAAAACGATGGTTTTTACTTTGCTCTTATATACGAAAGTGAATGATTATCGCAAATCTAAAAAAAATCTGTATTACGCAACGCGATTGTGACTGAATTTTTAATAAATCAAGAATGCATACACAGATATATGTACGTACGTATGTATATGTATATAAGTTTCTTTTCTCATGTTCCAGAAATACTTTACTCTCTACTAAATGTGTCAATGCATCGTATACAAATACAAACGAATAAAAAGGTTTAAAAGCGACAAGAGAAATTATAAGTAATGAAATATATTTATTGTTTTCGCCCTTACCAATCTATATTACATTACATCTTGTACAATCTATTTTTATGTAAATTTTTCTCGTGTTAATGTAATAAAGGGTTATCTACAATGGAAGCAATATGGTGCAATTAGCCATAAGAAATCAATTAATCACAGTTAAATGTGAAGTCAATTTCTTACAGTTTATTGTATAGTATTACGCCTATTGTAGATGAACACAACATTTGATTTTGCAATTATGTATTATGTTTCATGTCAATTTTTAATCATCTTTGATTTTCGAAGTTTTCTGTTTCTTCATTGTAGCTATATTGCAACAGAACTGAGAAATTATATAATTTTTTTACTTAAATGCACATACTTTGTTTTTATTTAAATTCAATAAATGATTACAATAAAAATATATAAAAATTTAATGATACATTGAATGTAAAATAAATTCTTTTTTAAAATAAATACTGCCATATTTTTTTTTATTCATTTATGTAAAATATATATGCCTCTCTTTTTAAAAAATGATTGTGTAAAAAATAAGTATTCTTCAGTCTTACATCTTCTTTTACTGTTTTCAACTATAAGTAATTTAAGGTATGATTCTAATATATTTTATTCATACGATTACGCTATTTCTATAGAAAACATTTCTGATTAATAACACTGCATGTTTTGTGATTGTCATTTCGTATTTTTAAACAGTAAACAGAATACATATTAATTTCTTGTTGTATACAAAAACGTAAAATACAACTTACGTTTTCTCGAAATAAAGCAGTCTTATTTACACTATATTTACAGTCTCTTGTGTTTCACACGTTGACGTTTGTAAAGCTCCATGCGATTTAAACTTTTCATAAAGCGGACTTCCTTTAAACACGACATACGAAAGTACTGCTTTCGTGTAATAGTCCGACATTAGTTCCAAATTTCTTATAACTGTTGATAAAAGATGCGCTTTTTCCACATATATTCCTACATGAAAAAATAATATACTGTAATTAAAATATCCATTCTAAAATTACTCATAAAATTACTCATAAAATAATATATACATATCTGTTATTTTTGAAGTCTCTTTTTATAATACTTTACCTGGTGCCTCAAACATAAGATAGCAGAAATGCACATGTAGGTAATAATATGACGGCTGGTAATGGAAATATATTCTGAGCTGAGACACAGGTATGTTAAACTTTTTACTAATCGCTGCCGTTCCAGCATCTCGTATATTTTTTAATAAAGGAAGGTGAGACCCATTCAACTCTCGCAATGATCTTATTTTTTTAAATGGCAATGCCAATAACTTCAATGTATCCATCTGTCTATCCCATTTAAAATCTGTTACTAATACAAAACCATTATCCTTGTCAGGGTCCTCGTAAATAATACTTTCTTGTTCAGCTTTGTGCTCCAAAATATTAGTAATCCACTGAAAAAGAGAAAGAAACAATATAGAAATAAAATATGCTTTTTATTTAAATAATCTTCAAAATTACGTCAAATATGAATCAACGTTACATTTTAAATAAACTATACCTCCAAACTCAGACTCATTGACTCAATGTAAGGGAGAGTGACCTGCTGATAAAGTTCATAGGTTTCATCTATCACATACAATTCTTGTCTTTTATATTTATCGATGTGTGTTTGAGAAGCAGGATATATCACAGTCACGTGTAGACCTTGAAAAATAAAATTAATTACTTTATAAAATAGCAACTGATTCATTAAAATACATGAAAAATCGACAGATTAATATACCATTATTTTCCTCGGTTGGAAAACAATTGTAATTTCTGTAGACATCATTGGTGAATATCTTTCGAAAGGTCGTCTTTCCATCGAAGAAATCTTTCTCCAAGACCACTTTGTCCTGAGAAAAACTCTTTTGCTCAAGCAGAACGACCGCCTGGCCTTCGCGATTCTCAAATGTCCCTTCCATGCATATCAACTTTCGAGCACAGTTATTCTGCAGCACTCTAGTCACTTTGAAATCTGATAGATTCAGTTCTGTCTCACTCGTGTCATTCTCGCTCAAATTTTTCTCAACTACGTCGCTGCTTCCATCGTCCAACTTGACTTTCTTCACTGTTGGACAATCTTCGTCGTTCGTGCTTGCACATTTCTCCGCCATGCTTGTTACTTTAATATTAAAAAATCTAAAAATAGAATGAAATACTGTATTAGATACGAAACATTAACGTAAACATTAATCTTTTTGCAATAAAATATAGAAAGATTAAGGTACATAAGTTTTTCTTCACGTTATCATTGATACATGCAAAATCACTTTTTACCGGTGATCGCAAGAAAATCCGCTGTTTCTTTCTTTTTAGTTTTCTCTTACAAATCCTTCTTTTGGTACAGTGGTTTAATAAATACTTGTCATTGTTCAATCCTTGTTACAATTTTCTTAATCGTAAATGAGATCAGATAGACCGATAGATAAAATTGGCAGGTACAGGATGATTCTGCTCGATAAGACTTCGCACGTGTTTTTCTTAATAAAATTTCCACAAATGAACCGATATAAACATTGGTAAACACAATAGTCGATTATGAATTACAATGGTAGAAGTGGAGGAACAAGTGGAGGAACGAGAAATAATAGTCATAATAACTAGGCCGGTATATGACCCATGAAAATACAGTCTATAGAAATGAACAGAGAAATAATTCTCTTTAAGTTTGTTTTTTGTGTATGTTGAACACTATTTTTCACTTTTCTCTCTTTCTCGTCAATGAATTGTTATCTATTTTAAATGCAAAAAAAAAATAACATTAATTAGAGTTGATCAAAAATTTGTTTTCTCTAACTTCCATTTCTTCATACAGGTAAGTCTGTTCTTTTTAGTTGAATATTTTTCAAAGTCCATGTGTGTTCTTTTTCTCTAATGTGAAAAGAAAAAGGTCTGTTTTTTTAGCTGAACTCTTGCACAGTTTCTTTTTTTCCTTCTATAATTTGTGTTTCTTTTTCTCCTCAATATAAAAAAAAGATTTCTTCTTTTCAATTTAATTTTCTTGCACAGTTCTTTTTTTTGCAATGTGAAAAGAAAAAACGAGAAAATGAATTTAAAGCTCTATAAAAAGCCCGGTATTCATAGGGTGCGGTCAACGCGATGCTACAAACACTTTGAAGCATCAAACGTTTTTAATTAATCAGTTCGCAAAATTCTTTCTTCTAATTGGTCCATTAAACACTTCAAAGTGTTTGTAGCAAGATTTTGACCACAGTCATAGTCGGATCTTATAGCGAGGAACACAGACTTTTGCATAATGCATAAAACATGAGGCATAAGAAAATCAACCAATCAGAGTTCTTTATGTTACGGCAAAGAAGGAAATAAAGGACTTTGATTGGTTCATTTTCTTATACCTCATGCATTATGCAAGAGTGCTCCCTGCTTATATTTAAGACCTTCTTATAGCATTTTCTCTTGGCTGCATTATCGCCCACTAGTGCAATACTCATGGCTCCAGCACACCAACGCGGTGTTCGTCGCACGCGACACGCAATATCCAATGACAATATATCTTTAGAATGAGAATATTGATAAAGCTGTACACTCATTGGATATCGCGTGTCGCGCGCGACGAACATCGCGCTAGTGTGCCGGAGGCATTAGGGCCTCTGCACAATAAAAGAAACAGGGAACAGAGAATAAGAATTTCAACCTATCAGAAATCATGTATTGTGAAATACACAGTTTCTGATAGGTTGAAATTCTTATTCTCTATTCTCTGTTTCCAGTTCCTTTTATTGTACGGAGCTCCTTACCGCACATCATGTAATAGAGGAGAAAAGAAGCAGACGGCATGAGCGATTCCTATAGTTACCTAACAGTTCCCTAACAGTCGACTCTAAATCGATTCTGAGTCGACTATAGTTTCTAGACGTCTAAAAAATGGACGTCCGTAAGTCGACTTTAGACGACTTGGAGACGTCTCTAAATCATATGTTTTTAAGGTTTAATCTCTTTATTCTCATTGGATATCGTGTGTTACGCACGAATATCGCGTTGGTGTACTGGAGCCATAAGTAGACTATATAGTGACAAATAAACTTCATTATGAATTTTTTAAATATATTAATTACTTATTTCTATGCTAACACGCATAAATATTCATAAACATGTAATTATACATGAAATATGTCCATACATCTTTTTTTTTGTAAAATTACTTTTTAGTGTAATAAAAATAATAATAGTAATGTGAAAAATAATTAAAAGGATAATTTTCTTATTGTTTGTTTTAGAAAAAAACAAATTCGAAAAAAATGTAAAAAAAATTGTTCATACATAATTATGTATAATTTTATATATAATTATACATAAAAAATTTTTTTCATTTCTTTAAACTTGATTTTTTCTAAAACAAATAGTGCGAAAATCACCTTTTTAATTATTTTTAATGTTTTCACGTTACTGTTATTATTTTTATTATACTAAAAAAATCATTATTTTGTACGTTACATAATCCATTAGTCAGGATGTAATTCTATAATAAAACGCTAAAGAAACTTTCCTTTAATATATAGGAACAAATTTATATAAAACATAAGTAATGTAAATTAATTTGATAAATTCATAATCCGGAAAAAAATAATTTTATAAAGGAAAAAAGGATGTATGAACATGTATGGACATATATAATTATACATATTCATACGTGCTAATATATATGTTTATATATTCATAAACAATGCATAAACAATTTTTTACCGGACACATGTTTTGAGAAACAAATGTAAAACTTTTTTCTATAAAATTATTCATACTTGTAAATTGTAGAAATTCATAATAAAAACGTCGCTCATGCGAACATTCAATAAATTATTATATCGTCGAAACAATTTATAATTGTACACAAAAAATGTAATAGAGACCGAAAAAAAAAAGATCTTAAATTGTTTTATGAACTATAGGTTATTTTTACTTTATCATTATATAAATAAATTATTTTCCCCATTTGTTTACAATTTTTATTAACATTTTTCATCATCAATTCACTAATTAAAAAATTTTGTAAAGATCATCATATATTTCCATGTCAATTGTGCAAAGTAACTCTGAAAATTTCAAAATGGAACTCGAATATTGTACAGTTAAAAAATTCTATTATGTAATGGCACATACGTATGCGGAATCATGTCGTTACATAATAGAATTTTTTAACTATACAATCCATTCGAGTGTCTCATTATCAACTTAGATACAGATCGTGCAGATGCGGATATATCATGTGAATTTTTAGTTTGGGCAAGAAAAAGACGCATATATATTTCTAATATCTTCGTATAATAAAATAAAAAAAAGCGAAAAAAAATCATGTTTGTTTTCGCTCAAACCAGCAGTTCGTACGATGTTATCCACACATTTATTCTATATTGTTAAGTCGATAATTAGGTACATCGATTATTTTCTCATAAAGTAAAAAACTGATTTAATTACATTGATATCATGAAATTATGATACTTTATTATCTGCAGTTTCTTACTCTTATGGCTACAATGTGCTTTTTATTTTCTGTTTCTTATTGTTTGTCTCTTGTCTTATTGACCAAAAAGGCAAGAGACAAACAAAGACAAACAGCAAGAAACAAAGAACACATTGTAGAATTAGCCTATGTTCTTTCATGCTAACGCTTGACGCTTATTTTAGCGTCAAAATAGATCATAATAAAAATAAATAAAAATTGACGAATATCAAGCGTCAATTTTAATCACGACTTATTTTGACGCTAAAAATAAGTATTGAGCGTCGACATAAAAAAAGCACCTTATTTAGGGTATGGTCAACGCTTTGAAGCATTTTTTAATTGGTTAGTTTGTAAAATTCTTTCTTCTAGTTGATCCATCAAACACTTCAAAGCATTTCTAGCGAGACTTTGACCTTAATCACTTAATTATATTTTAACAATCACGTGACTTCCATGAGCGCCGACCATCTTTAATTCAGTATTTCATCGGTGATATAATATTTCTATCAAAATTTGTGTATAGTAGATAACGCGATGAATTTCTCTTCGAAAAAGGAAGTTTCTTCGTTGCCTAATATATTCTGTTCTCTCTTCTTATATGTCTCATGTTTTAATTTGTTAACTTACATCAATTAAGACCGAGTTTGAATATGTATTTCGCCATGAAAAGATCGTGACCTCGTCGATAAAATCAGTCATTGTAGCGCTACTTACCGACTACAAGGCACGTCTGACGTCACGAGCCGGCATATTTTTGTGATCGAGGGTATCTTACGTTCAAGATAAAAATATGGATTCTTTCGTAATAGTGAATAGAAGGAATCTGTACGGTGCTTAAGGTGGTCACGTAATTCGGAAGCGATCGAACACAAGGTATTGATTTCTGATTCGATCTGTTGCGACCTTTACCGCAACGTAAAGAGCATCAACCGTCTGAACAAAATCTCAAGCGATGCTGCAAGTCGACGACAGAAAGGTAAATTTCGAGCTCTCTGAAATATCTCTCTTCCCTATATTACTCGTCAATTTATCTTTCCTATTATTGCGCGTCTCTCCGCTCTTTTACACATTCTTGTGTCACATAATTGTTTCTTATTTGTTGTTTTTTACTTGTCAAGGGCCTTAACAAGACCTTGAAAAAGTTGTAAAAAGTAGACAATGTTCCATCTGGCATCTGTTCTCCAAACGATTGGCAAAGTTCTCTGATTTTCCTCGCGCTGGTTTCGCTTCCGGCTACCAAATACGTCCCCATGGATTTATATTGAGGTTATGCTCGACGTTTTAGCCTGGCGTTTTTAACGCAGTTGAAACTTATCTTGCGACTTCTGTTATCTTGAAATGACCTAGAACTCAAGTCCGATTCACTTATGTCCGTTTCCTACCATATTATAGTTTAAATTTAATCTCAGTTCGACTAACTATCTGTTTCCAGTTCTGAGAATTAGAAAAAGATAAAGAGAAAGTTAATTGAGATTAAAGTTAATATACATTAGTACGAAATGGACATTAATCAGCGATTAATTTATCAAATAATAATAATAGGGTGAGTATAGTGACTCAATTATTATAATATTATTTCCCAGCGTAAGTAAATCTATTAATTTTTTATTTCTATAGAAAGAAAGATTAAAAACGACGAATTTTATGATCGCAGCTTTTGCTTGGAACAATTAAGGCCTGGTTCCACCAATATAAAAGCAACTTTAATTTCTGTAATTTTAATTTACTGTTCATCTTTTTCTAATTCTTGGAATTACAAAAATATAGGATAAATTAAACCGAGATTAACTTAAATTTTTTTTTAATTTTAAGAATTAAATTAATGAAATTAGGGTAGCAATCATGTAACATTTTTTTTAGAACGGAAACGTAAAAAGTGAAAATTTTAACTTTATAAAGTTAGCAGGAGCAAATCAGCAGAATCAAATCCGATCTATCGGATTTTTAGTACTCATTGTGTAAATATATACTATTAACGATAATTTTGTATCATGTGCTATTTTGAAAAAAATCATGATGCTGTTAGCTTAATATTAAGCTGACAAGATCAATTCAAAATAAAAGAAAAAAAGAAAAATAATATCAGTAGGATTGAATTTGTATTATTTTATGTTATCAAAAACAATTCTATATAATGTGTCATTTCCAAAAAAGAAAACAGTGACGATGCTAATAGTTTAATATTTAAGCTGGCAAGGGAATTAAAAAAATAATACAAGAGCAAAAATTAACACAACTGAATTTGTAATAATTTGTATG